GTGCGCACGGCCTGACCGAGGCGCCCCTCGGCCTTCCCGGGCTGGCAGCGCCGCCGGGCCTGGAGGACCTGCAGGTGAGATCCAGGGGGTCCAGGATGGGTGGGGGCCAAAAAAAAAAAAAAAGGACAAGCACAAGCCGGGTCTGTAATCCTATCCTAGCCGAAATCAGGAGGCTGAGATCTGAGGATCTCGGCTCGAAGCCAACCTGAGCAGGAAACTGCATGAGACTCTGATATCCGATTAAATTCCACGAGGCTCATATCCGATTAGAAGTTGAGCTGTGGTTCAAAGGACAACACCCAGGCCTTGAGTTCAAGCGCCCAGTATACACACACACACACACACACACACACACACACTAGTGACAAGTGCACTTCTTCTCAGCCTGTCACTTCCCTTGCCTGATTCCAAGGATACGTCTGGAGTCCGGGGTTAGACACATCAGGCGCATAAAGCGACCCGGCCCTGAATCCGGACCCGGTGTCTGGATGTCAGCCGCCCTCCGCCGACACTAATGGCTCCTCTCCCTCCCAGCTTGTGCAGTCGAGTCACGTTGGGCCTGGGTGCCCCGTCCCAGTCTGCTGGGGCGGCCCGCGCCTGGAGCGAAGGGAAGGCGCGGTAGACGCCTGTCTAACGTGTGGTAAGGACCCAGGTCTCCAGCTTGGCTACAGATGGTGCAGAGCCAAGACGATTCTGGGTCCCGCCCGTCGCCGCCCCAGGCAGCGGTGCAGCGCGGCGGCGTGTAGGGCGGAGCAGATGGGAACCTGGGGTAGCTGGGGCTGGGGACGCGCCAGACAACTAAGTAACCACGACACCTCACCTCACCTCACCGCCTCCCTCTCCTATTTGCAGGCGATGGATGAGCCGGGAATGAGCCTCTTAGACCAGTCCGTGATCAAGAAAGGTAAGGAACGGGGTGCCACTGCCTGGGCAGAGCCAGACGAGACGGTGCAGGCCCAGGGCTCACGGCCTCCCCTTCTTCACTTCCCCGGGTGCCTCCTGTGCGTCACCAGCCTCGGTGGCCCCGGAACACTCTTCCTGACCCAGTAGAGCAGCCGCGGAATCTGTGGGCCAGGCCCGATGCTGGGCAGTGGCATGGGCTAGGTGACTTGCTGCCGCAGTGGACAGGAGCTGGTCTGCACCCCCTCGGCACCCCCCCCCCCCGGGTGGCCTGGGGAGAGGAGGATCTGGAGTTAATTAGCAGAACGAGTTAAACCACTTTCCTGTTTTTCTACGAAGTAGGATGGAAATGTTGTTCTCATAGGTTTTGATGAATGATTCCCACTTTACGGAACTTTAGCATTTAGGACCCTGGCTAGCGCTTTCTGCTCCTTCCTTCCTTCCTTCCTTCCTTCCTTCCTTCCTTCCTTCCTTCCTTCCTTCCTTCTTTCCTTCCTAAGCTTTGGGGGCCTTGCACTCCTCTAGGGGAATTTTCTTTCAGCCATGGCCTACTATGGCATTTAGGATTAGAAGAACTGGTGTGTGAATGTTGTATATGAGGCTGTGTCCCTGTATCTCTGAGTTTAGGGTCCTGTACCTGTGTGTTCCCTTCCTTTCTTGGTGTGTGTCTTTGTTGCTGTGGGTGTATCTATGATTTGCAACTGTGTATGTTGGGATACATTGTGTGTGTGTGTGTGTGTGGTGGGGGTCTCTGTGTGCTCTATTGTATCTTTGAATTGGTTCTTCTGTCTGATGAGTTCTAAGCGTGTGGGGGTCACTCCCTGTGAATTTTTAGGGGCACTTGGGGGTTTTTGGTTGGTTTTTGTTTTTGTTTTGCATTAGTAAAAGGAAAGAGAATCATCACTTTCAAGGACCAAGTTCTGCCCATGACAGGGAAATGTGAGGGAAACAAAACAGACTGAGAAGCCTTGGGCAAGCTCCTTAGGTTTGAACTGGGTGCCTAAAACACTTCCGAGGCACATGGGGTGGATGGTGGCCCAGGATTTGGCTGCAGTTGTTTATCAAACAAGTAAATTCAAGTCCAGGCTCTGTTTGCCATGTTAGGTTCTCGGGATTTTTGCCGTGGCAGAAGGGATGGCGCACATGGGCAGGACTTCCAGGAATCAGGGCTAGAAGACCAGGAGCTGAGAGTTGGTTGATGACCTAGTGTTGTGTGGGGGGGGGGGGGAGGACCAGCCTCTCAGAATTTCCTGGAGGGATGCTTCCAGGAATTGGGGCCGGGTCACCAGAAGCTGGGGAGGGGAGGGTGCAGGGAATACTCAGTGTGCTGAACTCAGCTCTTCACCAGCAGAGCTTTTCTGGTTTTGTGAGTGGTGCCTGGCTCCACCCAGGGGGGAAGAGAGAGTCACTGGGCTGCCTGCTGGAGGTGGGACCAACCTTGCAAGCCTCCAGTTCCCGACTCCTGTTGGGACTTCCTGGGTCGGCCACAACGCTCAGCCCTGGGGAAGAATCTGATACTGCCCTTGAACCTTAACCCAACCCCAGGCCAGAAGACAGGATGCCAGGAGAGACTGGAAACCACCCAGACTTGGTTGCTTTCAAAGGTCCTCAGCTTCCCAACCTCCCACTTGTTAGCCGTGTCCCAGGAAACGGGATTTGGGCTGATGTGGCTTGTGCATTGCTGGAGTGGGGTTGGGAGGGAGTGGGGAAGGGGGAAAAGGCAGGAATGGAGGCCTTGGTGAAGCAGGTGGACCGATGGCAACCTGAGCAGGGGAAGTGGAGTCAGGGCTCCAGGCATCTCAGCAACCCGTGAAGCAAAGGGATCAGAGCCCCGGGCTTCCAGCGGAACGCAGCTTCCCGTTCCCACCCAGGCCCGGCCTTTGAGGAAGGGAGGGAAGTCGGTGCCAGCGCTCGCTCGCTCGAGGGCTTCGCAAACACCCGGCCCAGCTGGCTCTGGAGGCGGGCGGCCGGGCGGCCGGGACGAGCACTGCTCCCCGCAGGCGGTGGGTTGGCACCTGGCACCTTCTTCATCCCCAGTCCCTCCCGATGATGCCTGGGGAGGCATCGTTCCCCCCTCCCCGCACCCGCACCGGGGGCGCTGGATTACCCGAAGTCTCTCTGGGCTTGCGAAAGCGTCCCATTACCGCAGCAACTCCAGGCCTGAGCGGGGTGGCATCGGGGTCTCGCAGTCTTCCTACCCGGGGCTGGGTGGGGGGTGGGGGCGGAGGGGTGGCTTGGGGTCTCGATCTCACCCAGGAGCAGAGCCTGGACCCTCTCAGGCCCACATCTGGGCTGCGCAGGATCGGCTGGCCCCAGGCACTTGCCTGGGGCGGGGGGGGGGCAAGGGGCCCAGCGCCACCATACACTTGACCGTCCTCCCCACCATGAGGGGAAATGGGGAGCCCTCCACTCCGCGCGCGCGCGCGTTTGTCTCCTCCGTTTTAGTTGTTATCCCCGAGAAGCGGAAAAGGGCAGGACTGAGGGGGGAGAGGTAGCTGCACCCAGCAGGGGCGGGCGGGGGCCGGGGTGTCTGCGGTGATCGCCGTGGAGGGTGCGCACAGCGCCGCAGAGGCGGGCAGTGAGCGCCGGAGGTTGGGAGGGCTCCCGGAGAGGACCCGGGGCCGCGGTGTGTGTTCCATCATGTCTTGAGTTTTGAAGTCTGTGTACTTGCGGGGAGAGGCGGGGGGGGGGTACTTTTCACCCAAGCTGGGCAAATGTCTTCCCTGTGGAAAACCCAGGTAGGAGAAAATGATTGAGAGTCTGTTACACAGTCACAGCTGCAGGGGAGTGGTTCGGGGAAGAGACTTGGGATGCGTGCCACCCTCTTTCTCTCTGGGGGACCCTGGGGTGGGTGTCTGCCTGGGGCAGGGAACTCCCTCTGGGCAGACTCAGGGTAGTCAGATCTCAGGGGGTCTCCTGGACAGTGACAGATGTAAACACTTTTCCCTGCTCTTTTTCACTCTGCCAAAAAGGTTCAGAAGGGAAGTGGGGAGTTCAGCAAGCCTGAGCCTCCAAATGTATCTAGCAGTTCAGGCCTCGGGGGAGGTCACTGAAGTCCTGGGGCAGAATTCAAGAGGGTGCAAAAGACCTTAAGATCAATTGTGTGTGTGTGTGTGTGTGTGTGTGTGTGTGTGTGTGTCTGTGTCTGTGTGTCTGTCTGTCTATCTGCTTGCTCCTGGGACTTGAACTTAGGGCCTGGGCACTGTCCCTGAGCTTTTGTGTTCAAGATTAGTGTTCTACCACTTTGAGCCACAGCTCCACTTCCAGTTTTCTGGTGGTTAATTGGAGGTAAGGGTCTCATAGACTTTCCTGCCTTGGCTGACTTTGAACTGAGATCCTAGTTAGCATTACAGGTGTGAGCCACTAGTGCTTGGCTAAGATCAATATCCTACTGGTGTGTGTGTGTGTGAGAGAGAGAGAGGAGGGGGGCAGTTTCCTGGGTCTTAAACTTAGGGCTGGACTTTCTGTCCAGACTAGTTTCAAACTTTGATCATCTATCCTCACATCTCAACCTCCTGAGTGGCTAGGCTTACAAGCATGAGCTAATGAGCCACTGTTCTGAGGACTCTTAATGTGTTCTTTTAAAACTAAAAATAATGCCCCCCCCAACCCATAATGAACCACTAGAATTTTACATCCAGGCAGCATCTTATCAGGCACTTTTACAGTCCTTCCTTCCTTGGCTCCCAGGCAACTGGAAGAACAGTGTCCTGCAGAGTTGGATAGGGAGCCACCGGAGAGCATGGAGCAGGGGAAAGGAATATAGTTAAAAAAATCTTTAAAAGAAACCCTCTGGCAGTAGATAAGAAAGCAACTTAACCAGCAGGTCCCAAGAGGAGGAATGAGACTCAAGAGGGGCGTGGGAGCCTGGCTGCCTCTCCTACTTGCCTGCCTTCTTCTGCTCACCTCCATCTTTGGCCTTGAAGGAAGCACTTTGGATTATCTTGATAGTGCTGATGGAAATGTACACAGCCCTTCCCAGCACCTCACTGCTTCTGCTGAATAGAGCCCCGGAAAGTACATTTGGAATTTGAATTTTATGTTTATTTTTGTTTTATGGGTTTGTTGTTGTTTGGAGCTTTTTGTTGTTGTTCTTTTTTTATTGTTATTATAAAGGTGATGTGCAGAGGGGTGATAGTTATTTGTCAGATTAATAATGTCACCCTTTCCCTGGCTCTCTCCCAGTTTTTCCATCCTGCCCCCACCCACAAGTTGTAGAGTTTATTTTGAACATAGTATCTAGTGAGTAACACTTCCCCATTTGTTCACCCTCTTTGTTGTTCTTTTGTTTTGTGACAAACTATCACTAGACTGCCCTCCAACTTCTGTCTCTGCATCTTGAGTGCTGGGATTCTAGGTATGTACCATCAGTGACCGCTGAATACTTGCATTTATTAATTGAGATGTTGAGGTCAAATTTACACTCATGAAAAGAATACAATTTATGATTTTCTTTTGTAGCAAGTGTATGTGCTTTTATAACCACCACCATAAACTATTGGAGACATTTCTGTCACCCCTCAAAATTTCCTCATTCCCATCTGTACTTGGTCCTCATTCTCACCCAAGCCTTAGGCAACTGCTGATCTGCTTTCTGTCTATAAATTTGCATATTTTGGACTGCTGTATAAATAGAATAAATATGCAGACTTTTGCATCTCACTTCTTTTATTTAGCATATTGTTGGTTTTGTTTGTTTTTTGTTTTTGTGTGCAGGTACTGGGTTTGAACTAAGGACCTAGGCAATCTCTTGAAGTTTGTTTGTTTTTGTTGTGGTTGTTGTTGTTCTAAGCTAGTACGCTGCCAGTTGAGCCACAGTTTCACTTCTGACTTTTTTTTTGGTGGTTAATTGGAAATAATAGTCTCATGGTCTTTCCTCCTTGGGCTGGCTTCAAACCATGATCCTCATATCTCTGTCTCCTAAGTAGCTAGGATTACAAATGTGAGCCATGGGTTGCAATAGTGTGTGTGTGTGTTTGTGTGTGTGTGTGTGTGTTTGTATTG